AACATGCTTTGGAACAAATTTTTTGCTGTTTTTATTTGCTAGGAAAAACAGGTTTACCGCGTAGTAATTTGTGCTTTTCCTAAGTCAAGAAACTCGTAAACTTGTGGTTGACTTGTCTGTTGCTAATTAGCATCTAGTTCTGAGGTCTTATACTGCAGAAGAGGTTTTAAGTTATTTTAGCATCTTTTTTTTAAGCTTGTTCCGAAACGAGCATCAGTAAAACCATACGGATTGCTGTAAATTCTCACTGGCTAATATTCGTAGTGCTTCTGATATTCTGAGGCGTTTTCTTAATTAAATGTTCATTTTCTACGTGATTCGCTCTTTTATCCTAACGTTCACAAATTTGGTCAGTTTTTCTTATACTTATTGTGTTTCGTTTGAGAGTTGTTGGGAAGTTCGTTGGAGTTTCTTGGTTCAAAGCTGCGCTTTTTTATTCCGAATTCTTTTTAAAAGTAAGAGAGCGGAGTTTAATGTGAGCTGCTTAACGGGTTCACTATATTAAAGAGTTTTAGCTTTTTTCTAGGGAAAGCGGGTATATTAGCAGCAGAAGAGGTCATAAGAGGGGTTTTAATTAGGCGGTCTGAGTCTGTGTCATACATCGTACCCTTGTTCGCTCTGTTACTCGGTTTTTTTAGTCATTTCGGTTTACTCTGCCGTGACAGCCTTGCTGTTTAAATGCTCAAGTAGTTAATAAATTCATGAATTTGCAAATTTGCATTTGTTTCAGCGACCAGCCTAGACGAAAAATAAGTAATAAAGTAATGTAACTTTTCATGTCTCACCTTTCCATGCGTTTTCTAGACCGCTAAATATCCTTTTTTAAAGGCACGACACATCCTAGTGTCTGTCGATCAGGCTTTACTTAATGGTAGTGCTGGAATTGTCAAAGGAGATGAACACCTGTAGTTTTAGCAACACATGGTTGGGTATCTCGTGGAAGAACTTTCAGCTCAGCTTATTGCAAAGTCAATCGGCCGTTTTAGCAACAGCATTTGTGAAGCATATAAAACATTTGGATGTGTGTGGTACATTTCTCCAAAAGCGGCCATCATGTACGTTGTCAGATCAGACAACAAAATAACTGAGTTTTCTCTGACAAGGACTGCGAAGCCTGTAGCGCCATTCTGTCGCTTTGATGGGGGCGAAATTAAAGAGCCGATAAATAAAGAAGAAAATTTAAATTTGGACGTACCTACCTGTAATGATACTTATCAAAATTAACTGTCACTGACCTTACTGATTTAGCTTATTAAGCTTAATGAACGACTCTCTTCGTATTTATTAGCGCTCTGTGTAAACTAGTCATCCTTCGAAAGCACTACAATTCACTGATTCTTAGAACATTATTGTTTAAGTAGTCTTTTCATTTATTTATTTGTTTATTTACTTATTTGCTTATTTTTTTATTTGTTTGTTTACTCAAACACTTATTAAAGTTGTAAAGAGAAAAAAATGAATTAATTATTTTTAGAATAGAAATTTAGACAGATTGTAATAAGTGACTTTCTGATACATATATTTTTTTGTTTTTTTCACTATTAATCTGAATAGACTAAGTACGACTGTCGAGCAACAACAGAATCAGATAACACGTAAATTAATGAGATTATTGAAGCAGCAAAATTTGTAGCTGTCGATTCGACGTCCTTTTTCCGTTGACTTTCTCCGTTGTTTATGTTTTGCTGTAACCTTTTAAATTTACATTCAAGTTGTATTTGTCTGTCACCACGGATTTTTGTTATAAAACAACTGAGAATTGTATTGTTGGTGCCTATCCATTTGTAACGAATTTATTATTTTGCTAATAAAAGTATGAAAAAGGGGAATTTGATGGAATTTTCAAGTGAACTAAAAATGCAACGATTATCACATCTTTCCAAACATATCGTTTGAAGAAGACGAAGAAGTGGGAAAAATTTCAAACAAGATAAAAATTGCTAAGCAAAAAAAAAAAAAAAAAAA